CGCGTACTTCGGCCTGCGGGGCCGGGGGCCTGCTGCTCGCTGACGTGCCTTCCCTTGGATTTGGTGCCTGCTCTAGGCCCTGCGTTCTGTTCCCTGGTACCTCGTCTGCAGCCTGTGGTTTGGTGCCTGCTGCCTGGTCCGGGGTCCTGGCGGTGCATCCACTCACTCTCATTCTCTCCCTCACTGTCACTCTCGCTCTCACTGTCACTGTCACTCAGACCAGCAGCCGCTGCCCGCCTCCAGGTTGCTGCTACTGGGGCAGTCTTCCATAAATGGATCTATGAGAGCCATGACCCTGCAAACTTCCAAGTTCTCTTACTGCTGCCGCCTGACCCACTCTTCTTCTCCTTCTCCTTCTTTTTTACTTTCCTGTAGGTATCATTCAGACCCTTTCATGTTCTCTTGCAGGCCTTCACTATTGAATAGACCAGGGCTGCCCAATTTGGGGCCTGCGGGCCAACCGATTAGTTTTGGCCCGCGGCCCATGCTCAAATTTTCAATAATTAAATAATTATTATTTTCCCGCTGCCAGCAGTCGGAATATCTCTTTAAATATTTATTTATTGTTGCACTTCCTCTACTGACCACAAATCAGCATTGTGTTACATTGAGGGTAGGGTGGCGCTGTTTAGCTCCCGTCAGCTCAAATCCGGCCGGAACTGACCAGAGAGGGAGAAGATGCTGGGATGGAGGCATGGAGCGTGTGAGGAATTGGCACACTGACAAAAGAAAGTTTAAAAATTGTTGGGAACACGAGTACTTTTTTACTGAAATTGATTCCAAGGCAGTATGTCTAATATGCAAGCAGAGAGTCGCTGTTTTAAAAGAATACAATCTCCGTCGCCACTTCGAAACCCAGCATTCCCATCAGTTCTCAAAATACACCGGAGACGAGAGAAAGGTGAAGGCTGGAGACCTGCTATCAAAGTTAACCTCCCAACAACGTACCCTACTCCAGCCGTCAACTGTACAAGAGAATGCCACTCGGGCAAGTTATCAGCTTAGCTCCATCATTGTCAGAAGCGGACGACCGTTTGCTGTGGGTGATTTTGTGAAACAATGTCTGACAGTTGCTGCTGACACCGTGTGCCCAAATCAGACGCGGGCTTTTTCCCAGATAAGTTTGTCACGGAACACCGTCACCCGCCGTGTGGAGGATATGGCCGAAGACGTTCGGGGCCAAATTGTCCAGAAAGCAGGTCAATTTTCTGCCTTCTCCATCGCGTGTGATGAAAGCACGGATATATCGGACTCGGCACAGCTGCTCGTCTTCCTGCGAGGCGTTAATGAGGACTTTGAAGTGTGTCAGGAACTCGCAATGTTCTGCTCTGTATGGTTAATGTTTCAGCTGAAATTAATGTAAACACAGTTCAGTGATTTACAAGAAAAGGCTAAAAAGCTAAAGCTGTTGTTCAATTATATTCCTATTTGAAAATGATTGTTCAAGACAGTGGAGACTGTAATATATTGGTCTTGTAGGGACATGTTGTGTCCCATGTTTTTAGAGACATAGGCCTGGTACTTATTATTTTTCTGCTTTCAATAAACAGAAATGTTATTCATTTTCTAAATTACTTTGTATGACTGTTTATTTTGCATAGTTATATCATAGTCATTTAATTAAATGCACTGCAACATGAATGTTTAGTTTTGGCCCGTGACCCTCCACTCTGATTCATTTTTGGCCCTCCACTGAGAAGTATTTGGGCACCCCTGGAATAGACAATAGAGAGCATATAATGTGAATGATGCAATGAAAACCAGCATGCTAATATTCGCTTCTAGTTAAAAGACTTGTTCTCAAAATATCAACTTACCAGGTAAACCTACATCTCTGGACACTTCCTCCCAAGCCTGCTATTTCTTGTCTCTGTCCCTATAGGCAAAGAGAGTGATATCATACAAAATAGGGGAACCAGCCGCCGTAGTGATAAGCTGCTCACGCGCCATTCTGGAAATGTGTGTGGTAGGGTAGGAACTAAAGTTTCCTTCGATGTTCTCTGGGATCTGCGCAAGTGAGGGACATCTACATTCCGACTGGTTGCTGGTCATTTGCAGCTCAAACGCGTCATAGCTAATTTGCATAAAGTTAACCAGTCTTCAACTTTCATTTGCAGCTCAATTTGCCAAACTGCCGCTGCTCATCACTTTTGCAGCTCAAAACGCCTCTGGTCGCCACATGTGCACTGAAAAAGAATTAGACCTGTTGCCTTTGCAGTTCTGGCAGCTTTTGGTGTGAATGCACAGTTACACTTCCAGATTTTCCACGAATGTTGGGCCGTTTTGCCGGCAAGCTGCGAGCGTTTAGACACACAGAATTGGAATGGGGAGTTGATCCGAGGTGCCCAATTTTCCACCTCGTAAGGTAGTCATATTGGTGGAACCTTTATGGTTTAAAAAGAACGAGGCGGCCTTCCGCCACGGGAGGGGCTGTTGATGACAAATGACGCTGCACGTGCGACCCACTGGCAGTGGATAAACAGGAAACAGCTGATAGCAGGAATGAGCAGCTAGTAGCAAGTGGGAAACGCAAACCTGAAAGATGCTGTAAAGATGAGCAACTGGGGAGACAAGGAATTGCACACGTGAAAGGTATGGGTATTTTGTGTTTCATGGCGAGACATTAAAGGGATAATGCACCCAAAAATGAAAATTCAGCCATTATCTACTCACCCATATGCCGATGGAGGCTCAGGTGAAGTTTTAGAGTCCTCATATCACTTTTTGAGATCCCAGGGGAGAGGGGGTAGCAACACAACTCCACCTAATGGAGGCTTACGGCGCCCCAGATTCAAACGTCCAAAAACACATAATTGAAACCACATAATATCTCTATACTGCTCGTTCGTAGTGATTCAAGTGTCCTGAAGCCCGACATAAAAAGTTGTTTGGAAAAACGTCATTTGAACTCTGTTTTTACTACAATAAGGTTAAAAACAGTGTTCAAATGACGTTTTTCCAAACAACTGCTCCCTCTCTCTCCTCATCCGCTCTTCAATTTCAATGAGCTCTGCATCTGTGTACATCCATGTACTCCGTGTTCAAATAAATACAGGCGGTCATCAAATTCAAATGGCTTATCCAGATCCAGTTGGTCAAAATCGGGTAAAAATTCAGACATGTTAGTTGTGGCAAGTCAAAACTCACTCAGAGAGTGAAAGTCTGGCTCTGAAATCTCACATCTCGCGAGATTATTCTTCTTCTTTGGTGTTTTACGGCAGTTGGTCTCACAAGATTTGAGTTGTTGCAGGAAGTTACCGCTGGAATGACCTTACAGTTGGTCAAAATCAGGTAAAAATTCAGCCATGACTACTCCAAACAGAGTAACTCCTCGCATTTGTAGGTCACTTCAGCGGTAACTTCCTGCAACAAATTTTCACATTCTGCTTTGCTTTGAGGATTCAAAGCTTATAAAGAGGACATAGTCCATTTGATTTTATAACAGAGACAGTGCTAAGCTGTTTGAAAATATTAAGGATACATGGAAGAGACTTCTTGATATCAGAGAAGAAAAAAAGAACGTCGTCAGTAAATAAGGATATATGATGATTAGTAGATTTTAATTTTATTGGTATGATGCTTGATAACCTAATCAACTGTGGTAGTTATATGTAACCTTTAGCACGGCCTCCAAGATTTTGGGCAAAAATACAGTGTTATTACTATCCCAAAATAAAACTTATGACTTTACAAAGAAAGTCAGGGTTTGGTGCACTGTCAGTACCTAATTTTAAGTCTCTTGCCTTTCACCCCTTAATTTATTGGTTCATGGCTTAATATTAAGAGGAATTTGGTGGCACTGGTTCACTTGAATGATATTTTATTCACAAGCCTGTCTGTTAGATAATGCAGACTGAAATACGGACAAATAATAGCCTATGTGATTCAAAATTTTTAAAAATGTAAAGATATATAATTGGAAATCACAAAGTCATGTCAATACACTGATATTTTATAATAACTCATTAAAGTCTGGAGGACAATATTTAACCTCTTCACAATGGTTTAACTCAGGTATACATTGCTTAGGAGACATTATAAATGACACTGATTTAAGAAGCTTTCAGGATTTGAAGGACACATACAAATTGTCAACCAACTCCTTTTTTTCTATATCTACAATTACGTTCTGCTACACACACACACATTCATCCATTAACAAACTTAATTAGGAAACTATCTGGATTAGCTAAAGGACATGTTTCTTTCATTTACAATACTTTGTTAGTGCACACACAAACTCTGGGCATTCAAGCAATTTGGAATAAGAACTGCTCTGAATCATCAATAGACTGTGCCAGAGTTGGGGAGAATGTTTCCCGTTCCTTATAAATCTTAAATCATACATTAACAAACCTGAATTTTATATTTCAAACTTATTTGACACCAAAGCGACGTTGCATGATGAATATGTCTACTCCTCCAAACTGTACCTTGTGTGATTTGGGGACTTTTTTTACATATCATGTGGGAGTGTCCATCAGTTAAAAGTTTCTGGGAACAAATAACAAAACGTCTACCTAACGTCTATCCGAAATTTTGGACGTTAAGATTGGCTGCTCTCCAGCACGTATGCTACTTAATGATGATTCAAGACAGAACTTTAATCACACTCAAAGGCAGCTTTGGTTATCAGCATGCACTGCTGCTAAAAAATGTTGGCGGTTAGGTGGAAGTCGTCACACAGTCTTTCTATTCAGCAGTGGAAACACTCTTTAATAGACAAAGGGGACAAAGAGGGCAGGTTAAATCATGCTTGAGGCTAGAGCTGCATTATAAGAGGTATGATGTTATTAAGAGAGGGTCAGACAGTTTGTTTTTCCAGTTTTATTTTATTAAGCCCTGTTTTGTTTATTTAACCGTCTGTCATTGCCCTGATATCTACAAGTGTTGTGACATTGACAGCAGTTATTGGTTAACGTATACTTGCAAGTTGTGTCGAAAATAAAATGCCAAAAAAAGAAAAATTAAAGCATGACGAGAAAACAGTGCAGTGCAGTGCAGCCAACAAATCTGCAGGAACTGCGTGACACTATCATGTCAATATGGACCAGAATCTCTGAGGAATGTTTCCAGCACCTTCTTGATTCTCTGCCACCAAGAATTAAGACAAAAGGGGCATGGTTGCCACTTCTGATGCTCTGTGAAGTGTACAGCTTAAAGTGGTCCTATTGACAGATACTTTAATCTCCAGTGAGGAGCTTTCCAGCTTGTTCAGGGTTGTTTTTGGTCTTTTTGTTGTCTTTCTCGTTAATGCCCTTCTTGCCTGGGCAGTGAGTTTTGGTGGGCAGCCCTCTCTTGGCAGGTCTGATGTTGGGCCACATTTTTTGTCATTTTTTAATAATGGATGTAATGGCGGTCAATGGGATGTTCAAAGTTTCAGATATATTTTTAGAACCCAACCCTGATCTGTACTTCTCCAGAACTTCATCCTTGACCTGTTTGGAGAGCTCCTTGGTCCTCATGGTGCCTCTTGCTTGGTAGTGCTGCAGACTCTGGGGCCTTTCAGTACAAGTGTATATACAGTGAAATCACTGTATACAGTGACACTTAGATTGCACAAAGGTAGACTTGTTTGAACTAATTATGTGACTTCTGAAGCCAACTAGTAGCTCCAGGTCTTATTTAGAGGGTTCATAGGGTGAATATTTAAGTAGAGGTATATGTGTATCATAAAGCTGTCTGAGAACCACTGTGCTACACTAGCTGCTTTGCCCAAGTTGACCATTTTCATAGTTTGTTAGGAGGCATGCAACAGTGTACAGCTGGTTAATGTTGCCAAACATCTTCAGTGGTATCACTGTGTCAAAGAACTTGTGTTGCTTAACTTTGCTGATATGGCATTCCACATGTTCTCTGAGGTGTGCAGTGGCCTGGGTCTCTCTGACTTCAGATGCAGGCGTCTTGTCTTTACCTGAGAGAAATGCAGGCTTGTAGATCTTACATGGCACAACGTCATCCACAAGAAAGCCTCGGTCAACCATGATTGCCATCTCTGGTGTCAACAGCGACCCAATCCCAGATTGTTGCAGGATCTGTTTGTCACTGATTGAGCCTGGACACAATGGAGAGACAAAGGTGACAGCACCGTGTGGAGCAATTCCAATCAACCCTTTCAGGGTATGGTGTGACTTGTATGAAGAGAATACTTCACTTTGCAGCAGTGGTGAGGATGGGCACTGGCACTTCAACTCCATGCAGGTGAGGATAACTCTGGTGTCTGAGTACTCCTTGAATTCTGCTGGTAGATGTTCCCTGATCTTTTCCTCTGACATCCAGATCCTGACTGAACCCAGGACAGCATAGAGACAGTTGCTCCATGTGATTATTATCCAGCTGACTGTGGACTGGTGGATTCCATACTTGTGTGCAAGATCCCTCAGCTTTGACCCCAGTGCAAGATAGTTTAAGAACAGGAACATCTCATCTATGGGCTGGAGGGAATTAGTCTGTTGAAGACAGCAAAGGTAAATTACTGAATCATTTAGTCATTTAAAGGAGCAGTGTGTAAGATCAAGGGGGGTTTAGTGGCATCTAGTGGTGAGGATTGCAGATTGCAACCAGCTGAAACTTCTCCTGGTTAGAATTCCTTCATAAGACATAAGACACTTTATTGTCATTGTAGATATACAAGGACAATATGTTTGGTTACTGAGGAAGTAAATATATTAAGATGCTTAAGTTGCTTAAAATTTTCACGTTACTTTTTAAAAACAGATGTCTAAAAGTAAATCCAATACAAACTAAATGTAGTAAGAAATAAAAACATTTTTTTCTGATACTGAAAAAGACACTAAAATTGTAGTTATTGTTTTTTGCCTTTGCATTACCTAGGTGTTTAAGGGAAAACAAAGGCAGAGTACAGAATGTACAATTTTAGTTCATTTGTTGGGTCATAGATAAAATAATTAATCATGGTTTTTAGGCAAAAAAACAAATTTCTGAAAAAATAGTGCATTACCATTTTTCTACCTACAACACATTTGGCTGAGCAGTCAAGTGTTAATGTCGTCACTGCAGTTAGCTTTTGTGGGGCAGTACAGCTCTGGGAAGAGGCTGTTCCTCAGTATGTTGGTCCGTGGGTTTATGGTCTTTTATCTCTTTCCTGATGGCAAAGGGACAAACAGACTGTGGCCTAAGTGGGTTGGGTCTTTACTAATACTACTAGCTTTCTTCTCAGTGTTTTATTTAGGATTATTTAGGAGGTTTATTTCGGAGGTTTTTACCAGGAGCTGAACTATCCACAGAGGTCTCTCCTTCTCCAAAACAAATGTACTTGATGATTAAAAGTGGTAAAACACTGAATAAAGCAGTTTCACATTGCAAATCAGTGTATCTCTGACACTGTTTGGCATGTCAGAGACAAGCCACTAGCCCAGCACTTGCTAAAGTGTGCTCACCTGTTTTCTCTTATAAATTAAGATCCAGATATTTTTGACTTTTTTACCAGGAGTTGAATTATCAACAGAGGTCTCTTACTCTCCAGAACAAATAGGCTCTGTGATTTACACCGGTAAAAACACTGAATAAAGCAGTTTAACATTAATCAGTATTTTTCCAATGGTCTTGTCACAGAGGGGTTGCTAACTATAGTGGTCAATGCAAGAGTGCTAAAACACTAATGCAGTCCAGTTGTCCTAACAAACAAGTTAGCTATGTATTGTAAATTATTTTACTTTCTCAGCGGACACAGCATGAACTGTGTCTCCTCATCCTTCCAAAAATGCACGGCTCTGGAAGTAGATTTCGCGATGCTGTTACCGGTTTCTTCTTCTGTTACACATTTAATGCTATTTGACTTCCTGGTCAAAGCCAGGGGTGGAAACTGTGCCTCCACCATAAATTAGTTACTAGATTTTTTCAACTTACTCTTCGATGTTTGAAAGTTAAAAGTTGAATACGAAATCCTGTGGTTGAAAAAAAGCCTTGGTTTTTCTTTCTTGCCATGTATGCCAGTTAGTTCGTGCAAACTGTTTATTTTTGGCCAAGTTTTTATGGAGATATTGAATATTGTGATTCTGATGAAATGTCACTACTCTAAGCTCAGATTGGGTATCATTTTTTTCCAACAGAAGCGTCTCTTGCACATGATGTGTCCAAGGACCGTCAGAAATGTGAAAATCCATTGATAATTTCTGTTTAAACAGTTTCTGGTGATGATAAATGACGTGATTTTGACAATGTGACAAAACATGCCTCCCAAACCCAACGTACAAAATACAATCATTTAAATTTGTATGCCCCAACCCTAAGCTAAAATTTAAAAACACAAGTTCCTTCCCAGAGCTTAATTTTTTTTTTTTTGACAGGTCTTTTGCACCACCCCCTCCTCCCTCAAAAATAACAAACAGTCACAATGCAAGTAAACAACTGAGGAAGTTTCATGGTGATATCTATTGCAGGTCTTTCCCTATTCACCTGTAGTTTCTCCCCTTTCCTGAAATAACCTTAAATAGTAGCATCCGACATTTAAAGAGAATATTTTTTATTCCTTCTGCTACACAATAAATATAAATATCTTACCGCAGTAGCATCAGACTCTGTGACATCCACGCTTTCTGCAGCTGTTTGGGCTTTAGTAACACGGACCATAAAGGGAACCAGTGGATGGATGAGATCCCAGAATCTCATGAGAGCGTCATAGGATGAAAACCTAAAGAAAATGATTAACATTTATTATAAAATTCCTTTCAAATTACAACTAGTGCATTTGTTATTTCACCCATTCTGGCAGAGTGGGACAAATTGTGTCCTACCAAAAGACCCCTAAAATCATAACAAATGAACACACTAATTAAATTTTTTGGGTTGAAACATTATTTTTTTAAGGATTTATTTT